CTTGCAGGCTGCTTTTGGGAAAGCCTCGAATCTCTCGTTTCTCTTCGAATCGTGCTGCTTTGGAGGTTTTCTCGTGGGTTTTTTCGTGTGTGTCGTCAGGCGCGTGGCCCGCTTCTGGGAGTCGAGAGAAAGCCCTCGCGCACCTGCCCACCGCATGCCCTCAAAAATCCCTAACCGGCAGAGCTCGAGCTAGCCTCTTTCATTTTTAAACAGGTTTCCACACACACAAAAAATACTGCTCAGGTTTTGACTTCTGCATACAAAGCAGAATTTTGTAAAACCAAAGTGTTAAGGGTTTTGAGAAACAAGCTGAGGGCGTGCTTGTTGGCTCCTTTGTTCGTGGGTCAGTCCAGCACTCTTCCCATTAAAAGTGTTTATTTTTTAAACTTTCAGAAGGGCTTGTCACGGCTCAATTTTACAGAGCTCCAATTAACATGACTATACTGACGGTAGCCTCTAGAAGCCATCTATTATGCTTCCATTTACAAAGGAATAAAAATGGGAAATACGAAGAAACAGTGAAAACAAATGTATGCTAGATCCTTGTAGAAAATGGCTTTTAGAAATGGGAATAAGGACGGGTTTTGTACATTCAAGCTTTCAGTCTGAAGCTCAGGAGCATGCATTTCCCTGTCAAATGTTTGTCAGTCACACTTGATATGTTTGGCATTAATACAAATAATAAGCTTTGTGATAAAATAGATTAGTCAGAAATAAAATAACACAATGTCCCAACAACCCCTTCATCTCAAATGCTCAGTTCCACTTACGGTCTTTGCAGAAGAAATGGACTGTAAATCCTGCTGTAAAGGATTTTGCCACAATTTAAATCCTGCCAGTCATTAAATTAAGAAAAACTTTGTACTTTGAATCAACCCTTAGTTTTGGAAAGGTACTATGACAGGTAATTTCAGCTGAAATGTCTGTTTAGAAAAAGAAACATATGTAAAAATTGACATTAAAATAATTGAAGTAATGCACATTTGTGATGTTTGTATTAAATATGTTGCCATTTAAAGAACAGCGGGGGGTAGATTTAAACAATATTCTGCAGTCTGAATAATGTAAAAATACTGTAGTGCATGAATGTCAGAAAATTACTGGAAGTACCAATAAAAATATTCTACTTTAAGCTGAACAAAGCCAGAGTATTTTAAAATGGCATTAATGGTGAAATAGATTCGGGCACTCTCTTAATATGTGTAGTTTATACTAGTACTATGATATAAGTAAAAATTAATAAACTTATTAAAATGCTTTAAAATTACATCGTAGTGTTCTCAACTTCAATGTTGATTTATACTAATCTGAGGTTCTTACAGAACTCTAGTTATTAACTTCTAAAATCTGAATTCATCTAAATGAAAATTCAAAATTTACTCAAAATCACACAGATCAACAGCATTCTGACTAGATCTTCATTGCAGGCAATGACATATGGTAGAAAATGTTTGTTTTTTCATTTAGATTAGCCTAAGTATTTCAATAGCATTACTCTCACATTCAAGCTCCTTGAACTCACCCTAACCTCAGCCACACCATCCCAGCAGGCCACCCTGAGCCCTTCATTGCTCTGGTGCTGGTGTTCATCTTGCTCCACTACCAGCTCGCAGAGTTAAAATGACCAAAACTTAATCCCACAAAAAAATGTTATCAGTGAACAGTATCATCTGGGGACCACTCTGGGGTGAGAAGAATGATTAGCAGGGCAAGGGAGCCCATGGCCACACAAGGTGAGATACGTTTCAGGTACCATGGAACCACTACCTTATATCACACCATTCTGGGGAAGAAGAGAATCCATCCCTTTTTTTGGACTCTATACTTTCTTAAAAATTATTATTTTGGACCCCCATTTCAGTGTAAATTATCACCCAAGTATCACCATAGTGAAATTCTTGTTTTCAAAGGTAAAGGAAAGAATTTGGACTTGATTATGCCTCACGGGGGAAACAGGTGGGTTGTGTTTTCCAGCTTGTGTCCCAGGAAAAATAAATGACAGCACTACAATAGCTACACCTCTGGTGAGGAGAACAATTTTAAATCCTACCTGGAGCATCTATGAGTTTTAGACAAGCTTGAGTAATCTGGCTGTACAAATGTAGTTGCTGCTGTCTCTTTAAGCCTTGAAACTTAGCATGCAGTTTCCAGTGCTCGCTCTTTTCTTAGAAAATAAAGCATTCAGGAATGTTGCTTTAGTGGAAGCTCTAACCCTCTACCAGACAATGCTCTCTCCATTCAGTGACCTTGCAGAATTGTTTTTGCAAGATTTTATTTTTTTTTAATTATTTTATTTTCTGCAGAGAGTTAAATAACCTACTTTTTTTTCTTTTTACAACAAAAAATAAAAAAGTAGATATTTCCCATCCTGTGCTGCCATCAAAAAATGCAGAAGGATGTTCTGTCTGGAGACTGGGATTCTGCTGTTGACTAGTAGATCGTTCCAGTAACTAAGGCAACAAAAGCCTCTGTTCTACTTAGAGGAAATTGGGGAGCTGGCCTAACATGATCTGTAGGTGGATCATATTTTGTTTTCTCTAAAGAACTCTATCCCACCCACTTCATGAACAGAGAACGCCCAGAGGCTTCCTGTTTGGGTCTCTCTGAGCACTAAACCAGCACTAAATAATAAACTCGTAAAGGGAATTAGGGCAGGTTGAAATTGGGATGGGCGATATAGTCTGCCTTGGCAATCATTCACAGCAAACT